AAAGAGCTGCAGGTAGAAAGCTCATGAAAGAAATTGGTCACATTTTCGGAAATGTGCTTATTCACGTTCTTTGAGAGATGTGAGAGTATCAATGTCAATCTAATGTCTGTGCCTAAAGCATGAAACTAGAGACCTGAGGATATTAGCTTAGCCTAACTTACCTTTACACATTGTATGGTGTTTGGTAATTAGTCCATCAACATGTACAGAACGCTTTGTACAGAAACCTGAATGCACGCTCACTGACTATCAAGCCAAAGTTCTTACATTACAGCAGGATATATTTTACTGCCGGGGGAAAGCTGTGCTAAAAAAAACTAAACTAAACAAAAGAAACAAAGATTTCAGGAAATCTGAAAAGCTTTGTGGTTGATCTGTCTGGCTTGAATCATGGGTAGACATAGATAAGAATTGCCACAAAAACTGGGTGCAGGAAGATCAGTGGCAAACTAAAAGGGAGTTGAAATACACCTCCAGCAATCAACAAGAGCTACATACTGTATACATCTAAACAGGGAAAGTTTAGTCTCATTTAGTGTCAGAAAGTCATGGAAAAGATTATTAGACCACCCTTGTTCTCTTCAATTATTTGTTCATTTTAATGCCTTATATAACATTTGTTTGGACAAATGTAATGATAACAACAAAAACAGCTCATAAGAGTTTAATTTAAGAGCTGATATTGAGACATTTTCCACAGTTTTGTTGATAATAACCAATAACCAATAGCTATGGCATTGTACTGCCAAAAACAGTGCATTTAGACATTCTGTGTTTTCTTTTCTGTCTGTTTTAGTCACATGATGCACAGGAGTTAGCACTTGATTACATAACCATTGTTTTTGATGACTGCAGCCATGAGTCTTGGAATGCTCTCCACCACCTTCTGACATCGTTCTGTTGTCACAGCAGTCCATTCCTGTTGCACAAATTCAAACTAATTTGCTTTGTTTTTGGACTTGTGGTTCTCCATTTTGCATTTGGTGATTTTCCACAGATTTTCAATTGGATTTAGATCTGGTGACAGTTTGGTTTGTAGGTTTCTCCAGGTTTCCTCCTAACCAGTAAGCTGGCTGAAGTGGGCATCAACTGAAAATGGTATCCATCACTAAAGAGAACCTTCGCCCAACCATCAACAGTTCAATCATTGTGATCCCCAGCAAAGAGTAACTGGGCTTTCCTCTGCCTTTTGTTGGTGAAGGGCTTCTTCAGACCAGCTTCAAGAAGTTGGTTTCCAACTGTCCTTGCTGAACAAGTCACATTTCTCGAAGTGCTCACTCATTTTTAAGTTCCCTGGAGGTCTGACAACGATTCCTGACACAGGAACAGATGAGTGCACGGTCATCTTGTGGGGTAGAAAGATGTTTCTTTCTTTGCTAGCAATTTGGTAGCACCATGTTGGGCTTCCTTTTTGTTCGTGTATGTGTAATGAATGGTTGTTTGGGAGATCTTCTGTTTTTTTCACTACCTGTCTCTCACTGATGCCACTTTCCAGCAGTGCAAAAATGGCTGCCTTTGTGGCTTCACATAATTCTTTCGTTATAGGCATTATGTGAGAGCCAACAACTTTGGAGTTGTGCTACAGCATGAATGTAAGCAGGAAACCACTGTAGGCCTTGTGCATGTGCAGGTCTGTTTATGACATGAAATGGCCTCTTATATACCCTGGGAATACAATTGACCTTAAGCATGTCAAATAGGACATAAAGCAGTATGTAATCAGGTGCATTTTTTGTCATGTTCATTGTATTCTTCAGATAATATACCTTTAGTGGTACCAGGAATTAAAATGAAGAAGAACTTGAAGAAAACAAGAACAAGAGTAGTCCTTTTTCCATAACTATATATATATATATATATATGTGTGTGTGTGTGTGTGTGTCATGGTAGAGACTGCAATCTGGTAGAGATTGAGAGATTGCCAGTCTCTACCAGTAGAATCTCCAGTTCTATTGATTCTGAAGATTGCTAGAGATTGCGATTGGTATTGCAAATCTTGTGTACAAAAACAAAAACACAAAGTGACTATATTAACAAAATAACCATTTTATTCAGGTATCACTGTATGCAAAGCTACTAATACTGATAAAGTCCTTTATTTTTTTACAAATACTGAAAAAGTTGTGAGACAGTTAAATGTATCATTATACTATCATTTTACTGTCTTCTTGTCATTAGAATCAGAATCAGATTTATTGTCATTGCACATGTCACAAGTACAGAGCAACAAAATTACCATGATTTTTGAATTTTTGAATTTCCCTTCTGGGATAAATAAAGTATTTTTCATTTCATTTCATTTCATGATTTGGTATGTGTAAAAAGTTACGTGAAAAATGAAAACCTTTTCACCAAATGGATTAGAAGCTGCAGGAACAGAGCTCTCAGTGTCCACGGTCAAGTGTGTTTTACATTGGCTTGGGCTGAGAGGCTGCCATGCAAGAAGAAGGCCTTTCCTCTAACAGCAGCAACTTATGGCTCGACTGAAGTTTGCTGGACAAAAAAAAAAAGGTCTTCTGGCGGAATCTTCTGTGATCAGATAAAACAAAAATTTAACTTTCAGTCACAACAAGAACAAATGTGTTTGGAGCAGACAAGGTGAGGCCCCTTAACCCCAAGACCACCATGCTTACCATCAAGCATGCTGGTGGAAGTGTTACGCTCAGGGGCTGTTTTGCTGCCTGTGGAACTGGTGCTTTACACAAAGTAAATAGAATAATGAAGAAGGAGGATTACCTACATTCTTAAGAGAAACCTACAATCATCAGACAGAAGGTTGGGTCACAACAAGACAATAACCTCAAACACAGAGGCTGAATGCAGTTTTTAGCCTGGCCTTCCCAAAGTCCTGACTGAAACCCCAACAGGCTGCTGAAGACACAAGTCAGTTTCCAAAAGCCAACACAGTTAATAGAACTGCACCAATTCTGTCAAGAGGTGTCATAATCTGGTCCTGTGTGCCTGATTAGAGGAACTGGAGACAGCTGTGGATCAGCTCACCTGCTCACAATCAAATCACCATAAAACCCTGTTCATTCCACTACACACTGCCAGATCATTGACATTCATACACAGCAGTTCCCATTCTGTCACCTGCTTGCCTCACCCAGTTGCTGCCGCCTCGACACCCTGCATCAGTGGCATACCCGCTACCCCGATCCTGTCCGCAGACAGCCTTCTCCTGCTGCTGGTCCCTGATCTGTTTCTAGCCTGCATTTCCCCGAGCCAGCCTTCCCCTTTAGTTTGGTCCCAAGTCCCATCAGGCTTAGTTTGTTATTAATAGTTTCCCCTAGGTTTTCCGTCTGCTGTTAGTTTGGCGTTTTTCTTAGGTTTTTGTAGTTTTGCCCCCTTTTTTTTGTATTAGGTCTGGTTTACCCTGTTCTGTTTCCCCCTCAGTGTAGTTTCCTCTTTCTGTATTGGTTTTCAGTTTCGTTACTTTGTTTAATAAAGCCTTCCAAACCCTCAACTGTCTGGTCTGTGTCTGCGCCTGGGTTCTCAGAGCCCACGTAACAAGAGGAGAGGTCGAAGGTACGAACAGAAGTTTGTGAACACCAGAAGCACCGAACTGAGATGAAAATGACCAAGGAAGCCAAAGGATCCACTGCTAAGTATTGATAGGCTAGTGTTCACTAACACATTTGTCATATCAAAATTATACCAGTGTTGTGTTTGTAGCTAAAAACCAGATTTGTTTCCTACTACTTTATGGCTTATTTAAAAAGATGTGCTCATCTCCTCTTTTATTCTGATGCATGCCTGATGTTTTATACTCTTGCACCCCTTCTTCTTAGAGAATGCCTGGTCCACCCAGACAGTGGCAGGGCAGGTAGGACTGGAGCATCTACTAGAAGTACCTCAATTCAGTAAGACATCTTTTGGTCAATCTGCTTCTCAGTTAAAGCAGTGAAAGTGAAATTTGCATACACGTCAGAGTTTCAGGAAGCTTTACAATGTTTAAAACGAGCCTGAATGTTTGACTTAGGTCAGCGCAAATTTGTCAGGACCAATGATTGCCCTTTATTGTTTTTACTGGTTTTCTTTATTATCTCACCTTGACGGACTGTTAGATTTTGCAATGTTTAATGTAGTGTTCTGTGGTTGTTCTTTCTTTCTGTACCTACACAGGGACAACATATGCAAATTCGCTGCTACTTAAGTCTGGTCAACTTCTTTTAATTGTGCGCTGTCTCTGCAAAATAAGCTAGTGCACTAATTTGCTTTTCATTATGTTGAGATGTGGTGATGTGTTGAACTGCATTAGCTTTTAGTGACCATCAGCTGGAGTGAACAGCACGGAACTGTTTGAGCCCAACTAATGTCATGAGACATATGTCGAAATATGCTGGTTTTTTTTTTTTACTCTGTTTCTATACCATATATTGCAGCTTATCACAATCTGTCAGTACTTATCTTGTTCCTTTTTGTATCTACAACATACCTAATGAGTCAGTACTGCCCACCCCCCTTTGGCTTTTCTGCAGTGAGCTGATGTATATATTGAGCTGGAAAACTCATCCACATTGGTTCCATCCGAGATCCCAAGGTAAGCTTGCTCTGGGAATTCAGTAGTTCATTTCTTCTGAGAAAGTTTCTTCTGAAGTTATTATTTTTCTTAGAAATTAAATTTGGTTAGTGTATTTACAGTGCTTCTTGTAAGTTTGTAAAAAGTGCTGTACGGGGGTTTAGGGCTAGATTGGAAAGTCAAAACGTGAACGTCATTATCATAATGTATGTTGTTGCTGCTAATATGTCCTGCTGAAACAATGAGTAACAGCTTCGTTCCAGTAGAATAGGGTATAGAATAGAAGGAGTTAGTGTTGAACCAACTTAAAATAGTTTTATAGGTCATCCGCTTTCAGTTCAAAATAATTTCAACCAAGTAATGCATTTGAACATGAGACCATATTCTATTCACTTTATTTGTCTTTGTTTTGTTTTTCTTGAAAAAGTTCTTTAATTCTTCTGGAAAAAAAGCTGAAAGACTGAGCTTTGAAATCGTCATGACCAAGCTCGTTATTCTCACAGGTAAACTCTCTTCACATGGTAGTGCTTTACATTTCTATAATGCTTCATTAGCATGACACATTAATCCACATATAGATTCTGATGCTATACATTCCAAGTGTAAAGCATTCATTATTAATGTTGTCCTCTCTTTAGGCTTGTGCCTGGTGATGTGCCAGCTGGGTAAGCTACTCTTTCAAGTTTATACTGTCAGTGACTGAGCTGAAAAATACTGATTAAACACAGTGCTGACACTCTTTTTCTAATCTCCAGCAACTGCATCTCAGATGGTGTGCTACTTCACCAACTGGTCCCAGTACAGACCTGGGGCTGGGAAATACATGCCCCAAAATGTAGATCCCTTCATGTGCACCCATTTGATTTATGCTTTCTCCATCATCAACAACAAAAATGAGTTGGTTACCTATGAATGGAATGATGAGACCCTGTACAAGACCTTCAACGGTCTGAAGAGCAAGTAAGAACCTCTATTTCTGTTCTTCTATTGCTGTGTCTAACAGTCTCCTCTGTCTCTTCTGTGTCTATTTGAAAAAATCAACAGTTTGTTGTTGTTGTTGTTTTCTTTTCTTTTGACCTATTCCTTTTTGACCTATTGGCCCTTTCACCTATTAGCTATATAAATATACTGTATATTAAGCAAGCATTTGCAAACTCAAATATTCGTTACTATGCAAATTATAAAACCACATCATTGATTTAAAAGGAACCCTGGTCTGAAGACGTTACTTGCTGTTGGTGGATGGAACTTCGGCTCAGCTCAGTGAGTACAGATTGAAACTGGTCCATTTTTTAAATACTTCAAACATAGAATGAAAGGATAATATAGATGACATTTTAGGATAATGATACGAAGTCCTACTGAATGTTAAACAAATTTCCTCAGGTTCTCCATCATGGTGTCCACTCCTGCTAACCGACAGAAGTTCATCCAGTCTAGCATCAAATTCCTGAGAACTCATGGATTTGATGGTCTTGATCTTGACTGGGAGTACCCTGGATCCCGTGGAAGTCCTCCAGTGGATAAGCAGAGGTTCAGTCTGCTATGCAAGGTGATCAGGGATTCTTTAGCCATGGGGAAAAGACGTAGTCAATTGATACCAATATCATTTAGGAGATGTCTTATCGATTATCATCATTTGCAGGAACTTGCTGAAGCCTATGCAGCTGAGGCCAAGACAACCGGCAAGCCTCAGCTCATGCTAACTGCTGCAGTGTCTGCTGGAAAGGGAACCATCGATGCTGGATATGAGATTGCTGAGATTGCCAAGTATGGCTGATATTTTTATTAAACGCTGATATTCTAAGTCAGTCTCTTTTTTTTGCTTATAGGTTGTGTCAGTCGTCACCTCGACTTTAATCAAAATTTTATATAATTAACAGGCATCTGGACTTCATCAATGTGATGACCTATGATTTCCATGGAGCTTGGGAACGCTTCACAGGACACAACAGTCCTCTGTATCGTGGCTCACATGACTCTGGAGACCTCATTTACTTCAACACTGTAAGTAGACAGTGAAGACTGTAAGAAAATTAAATTTAAAGGTACATTTTTTATTTATTTTTACAAAAATCTTACTTCACTTTTTTATAAACTTCCTTAGGACTTTGCTATGAAGTACTGGAGAGACAAGGGAACCCCAGCGGAGAAGCTGAGGCTGGGATTTGCTACTTATGGTCGTACCTTCCGTCTGACATCATCAAACACTGGTGTTGGAGCCCCAGCTAGCGGCGCTGCATCAGCAGGTCCATACACTCGTGAAGCTGGATTCTGGTCCTACTATGAGGTAAAGTCTCAGCAAGGTGACGTGCATACTGACACAAGATGTAGAATGGCTTGGACCATAGAACATATCAGTGACATTTCATTGTTCTGGTGTTTCAGGTCTGCACTTTCCTGAAAGGTGCCACCATTCAGTGGATTGATGACCAGCAAGTTCCCTATGCCAGCAAGAACAATGAGTGGGTGGGATTCGACAGCAGGGAGAGCTATGAGATCAAGGTAGGCGGGATATCAACAAATAGGATTTAAGAATGGGTAGGTGGTCTGCAGAGTAGTATTCAAGTGATATAATTCATTCTTCGTTACTTTGTGGATGACTCATGTAGGTCCAGTACATGAAGGACATGAAGTATGGTGGAGCCTTTGTGTGGGCCTTGGACCTGGATGACTTCAAAGGGGAGTTCTGTGGAGAGGGAATCCATCCTCTGCTGTCCCATCTGCGTAAACTCATTGATGCCGGTAAGTCTTGCTCCTAATCTTTTTAAAAAACCAATACATTCCCAGCTTGTCAAGGTAAGATTGGAATAATGAAATAACCAGAGTGACACTCTTTAAAACTGTATAAACTGTAAACTTCTACATCAAGCTTGTATCTTCCATTTCACACAGAGATGCCACCTGTTCCAGCGACTACAACCAAGAGACCTGCTGTTACTACCACAGCACCAGCAACCACCAAACCTGTTATTACCACCAAACCTGTTATTACCACTGCAGCACCAGTCTTCACAACCACACCTAAACCTAGTGGTACCACCGTTGCTCCATCCACTAAGACCACTATCCCCATTCCAGGAAGAGGTTTCTGCAAAGACAAGCCCGATGGCATGTACGCCAACGTGGATGACCCCACAAGCTTCTACATTTGTGCAGGTGGCCGGACCTACCCAAGGAAATGTGGAGCTGGCACCGTCTTCGAAGACAGCTGCAAATGCTGTGTATGGCCCTAATTGCTAACTACAGGGTGACTATCAATCCCTTATGCATCAGTACTGCCTGTACAACTTAATGCCTGAAAAAACAGATGTCTTTCTGTGCTTTTTAACTTCAAAGGTGATGTAGTGTTGTTCAGAAATCCAACTTGTAAAATAAAAATGAAAAGTAAATTTGAAAAAAATGGTGTGTTTCTTGATTTTAAAAAAATGACAGATTGTCATTTTCTTCAACAAATAATTAGACAAAAACATTTTTTCTTACCCTATACATTTTATAATGCTGTATATGCAGAATTCAGTCACAAGAATAAATGCTGATATCAGTGCAGATAATAATTCTGCATGCTGTTCTTTGGTGTTCAAACTAGAATTAGTCAGCTTCTCCTAGTTTGGAAATGTAACTGTAGCAAGACTTCCCCCACCTCATTGGGCGTTGCCATTCTGAGCATTTTGAGGTAGTCTAACTTAAGCTGGCATAAAATGTTGAAAAACTGGCTCAGTTTTCCAGTTTGCAAGGTAAATACAACTGATTACCTCTTTTTGTGTGCTCTCAGGTACTGATACATTATATACTGAGTGGTTATTCAGTTGTCTCTCATATTTCAGGAATACCTCACTATTGCCTGTACACATGATAGCACGGTTAAGTGGCAAGAAAAAGCATTGGCGTTAGTGAAAGGCGAGGAAGAAGATGCATGCTTGCTGGCTACCATGTAGATCAGTGGTACAGGCTACCAAGAAATTCAAAACTTAGCTCTGTCAATATTTAATGAGAATAAACATTTTTTTTTTTTATAGGTCTTTAGCATGTGTTTTCCTGTAAAATGTTGGATGTATTTACATTTTACAAATACCTTTCGATGCCCCTTTTTTGAGATAATAAAAAAATGAAAACAAAAAAGCAAATGCACATACTCTTATTCAGCCATCATTCTCTTCTCTTCCAGATTAAAGGTTAGTATTATAGTGCAATATCAGTCACAGTGGGACTTTTCCCCCCCATTGTTCTCATTACTATTTTTGCCTGAAGACATTTGCATTTATTTTCAGGCAGATGATAGGGGTGTGTCAGCACCAACACCTCGGTGTGGGTGTAGCACTGCATAATGTTTTTGCCAGTGGCGATTGTGACAGCATATCTCCTCCTGGCTCCTGCCAAAATGTGTTACATCATATTTGGTATTCCTTATCACCATATCACACATGCCCTTTTGCATTTCATGAACAACTTGGAACCAGAAATTGGTTAGTGATAAGACAATAAAATAATAATTACATAATTGGTGCAGAGAGATTCGAAGCATGTGAAGAATGCATTCTGGGCGTCTGGAAGCATGGCATGGCTGCTGGTCAGTGGTGTGCTGCCCTTGTAGTTGGTTATGGCCTTCATACCTCTCCACATGCTGCATGAATCGTTGGTCTTGAAGTGGCCCTCAATGCGCTGCTGGTACTTGGCTTCTCTGATGACCCTCTTCAGTTCTCTGTGGGGATGACTGTAGGCTAGCCTGTCTCCTGACCTAAAGGCAGCATCCCATGCCCTGAGCAGAGACTGCACATCACTGTCCAGCAATGACTTCTGGTTGGGGAACACTCTGATGGTCTTGGTGATTGACACATTTTCAGTGCAGAGGGCTATGTAAGCTAGAACAGAGGACCTGTACTCATCTAAGTGTGTGTTCTGTTCAAAAACAGTTCTGTATAACCATTACATGTCACTAACTCTGTGTTTCCCCCGAAGTCCTGCACTTGTTCTCTTTGAGGACAACTCTGGATCTGGAGCTTCACGTCTCTGCAGCTTCTGACCTCACCAATCCCCAAAATATTTATTGTTCTGTTTGTATTGTTTGTCTGTTCTCCATGTGTGCATAACACTTGTTGTGCATTCGTACTATCCATCCATCCATTATCTATACACCGCTTAATCCTCATTAGGGTTGCGGGGGGGCTGGAGTCTATCCCAGCTGACTTAGGGTGAAGGCAGAGGACACCAGTCGCCAGTCTATCACAGGGCTACACTTAGAGACAGACACCTACGGACAATTTAGAATCACCAATTAACCTCAACATGTTTTTAGACTGTGTGGGAGGAAGCTGGAGAACCCGGAGAGAACCCACGCTGCACAGGGAGAACATGCAAACTCCACGCAGAAAGATTCCGGTGCCCCCACCGGGACGCAAACCGGCAACCTACTTGCTGCGAGGCAACAGCGCTACCAACTGCGCCACCCTGCAGCCCGCATTCGTACTATTTAAATTAAATTGAATTGATTTAATTTGAATTGAATTGAGATACTTTTTTGTGGGAAGGATCTCTTTTCAAACACATAACTTACTAAAGGGGCACAGAGAGTGAGAGTGTTTGCCTCGGCCAGTAGTCCACTCTTCTATGATACGCAAATCTGCAAAGTCCTAAGCTCTTCCTCTCCTATAATTTGCATGAAAATCAGCCCAACAGCAAACAGTACAGAAAATGTAGCTTCTTTGGCAAACTGGGCCTGCAGTTTTATTCAGCAACACCAGGAGTTGTTGCACCTGCATGACAACAGGCTCTGCTTTCAGATGAACTGCTGACTGCACCGTATATGGTGAGAGAGAGAAAGTTTTCTGGGTCAAGTGATTTACACGTACAGCCACAGTGAGAGTGTAATAGCATGCTGCTTTACATCATATCCACGAGGAAAGAACATTTCTGTCATCAATCCCTCTACATCCTCCCTTATTGTCCTTACACAGTTGCATTTACTGCGAAACAGCTCATCGTTTTAATGGGCACCAATTTAATCAAACATGCAACCAATTCTGGCGTTTTAGATTTTACTCCATAATGCTCATGGCAAAGTAAAAAGATTTTTATATGTGGTAGTCACAGAGTCCTAAAGTGCCCATATGTTTTTATTAGTTTCTGTTTTACCTTGACACGCTTGTTTACATGTGCAGGTTAAAGTTTCCACATTAGCATTAGTAACTACTTTAACCCTTTTAAAAGTCTCAAAGTGAAACAGAATCTTTATTGTCCCTCTGGTAATTAGAAATACCTGCAACTAAATGTGTTGTCTCGGCCACTGGGTGATGGTTTGACAGCTGATCAAACAAAGCTGCTTCATCACTACGGGCCTTTGTAACTTTAGATTGTAATTTGTCAAAACCTTAGAGTAAAAGTTGCATTTGATAAATTAATTGGATAGATTATTAATAATGGCTTGTTTAAATGTGTATATGAAATTAGTAGATTGATCTGTAATTACATAGTCACATATAAATGGCAAATCCTGAACAAAATCTATTTAAAATAATTGGACAAAGCATGTTATTGTGATAAATATTTCATATTTTCACTCCATGGATTGCAGTAGTTTGATGTGATATTGGTTGATCACTAGCTGCTGCATATCCCCACATCATAGCATTGTAAATTTACAGGTCACTCCAGGAGCAAGCAGCCGACTGTGAAACATCTTGATGGTCAATGGTCATGGCCAGTGTTCACCAAGGAAGAGAGATAATGTAATCAAAGCTGTTAACCTAGAAGATGAGCGTGTCAAGTCATCTCAACTTGTGTGATAATGCCTCTCAGTTTATGTGCATCTGTTGTAACAACTATCGTGTAGTGTGCCAAAGCATATTTGGGATCACACATTGTAGTGCACACCTTCTATCGTGAGTCATGTCTTATGCTTTAAGACTTTAGCACCAAATGAAGGAATAGAATATTCATATTGGAACTTTACACTGGCAACGTTATCTAAAATACAGCCTAATGTTTATTGGTCTGATGTCCAGCTCTGACTCACTGTGCTGTTTTCCTGTTTTGCAGCATTTCATTCTACATTTTTATTGATGGTATATGATATGTCCATTAAAATTACAGCCTGCTGTGAAGTTTCGCACTGAGTAAATTATTATCTACATATGGTTTTACATGATCTTATCAAAACAGGCTCTAATAATCTTTAACCCCAATTTATCAGATACTGTTACACCCCTCCTTTCTCGCTGCACAATTCAGTGTATAAAAGGCCAAACTTTTCTGAAGCTATTCGGATCTCTCATCCAGTCCCAAGGTGAGTTTACAAGAGGAAACGGTCCCTCCAAGGGTTCCATTGTATTTTTCTGAGATCTTAGTGATGGTCGCTTTCTTGTGTCATTTCAGTTGTTAACCCTGGTTTTGTTCATGTCTTATAGTCATCCAGTGAAGCTGTGAATACTGAATTCAAGATGACCAAGCTCACAATTCTAGCAGGTACTGACAAGACTCTCCTGTATGAGTGTAATATTCTTCATCAACAGATGCATGCCTTTGTATATTATACAGTATGTGTTTTCATTTCTCTCATTGTCTTGCTCTTTTCTTTAGGCTTATGTTTGGTGATCTGCCAGCTCGGTAAGTTGTAATACATTTGATAAACTACCATGATTTGGATTTTCATTTTTGGAACAAGAGTCAATAGGTCTTTGATGTTCCTTTGCTCCTACACAGGATCTGCCACCGACATGGTGTGCTACTTCACCAACTGGTCCCAGTACAGGCCCGGACAAGGGAAGTTTATGCCCCAAAATGTGGACCCCTTCCTGTGCACCCATCTGATCTATGCCTTCTCCATCATCAACTATGCCAACGAGCTGGTCACCTACGAGTGGAATGATGACGTCCTATACAAGTCTTTCAATGATCTAAAGACAAAGTAAGTAGTCAGTGCTGAGATACTGTTCTATCACATAGAGTTCTGAGGTCAAGCTAAACTACAGTATCTCAAGAAGTAGTTCAGTGTCCATGAACGTAACATTGTTGTAGTAAACCCATGACAGTAACAAGTGTAAAGAAAGTGAAATGGAAATTCAAAATAGTCCAATCTACCCTTTCTGCTGTCCAGGAATCCTCACCTGACGACTCTGCTGGCTGTTGGTGGTTGGAACTTTGGCTCAACACAGTGAGTAGCATTTTAAACCAGAAGGACACATGTCTCACTTGCCTATGTTGTAAAAACAAGATGAAGTAATTCAACAGCAGTTCTTTTATTTGATAGACTTTTGAAATACAGGAAAATTTTTGCAAATATAGAAAATACTTTTTTTTTTTAAGTGAATTTACTTATCTAAAGTAAAGAACATCAAATACCTCTAACTGAATAACCATGATTAATTTTTTTTATTTTAAAGAAAATATTACTTTTTTTTTTCTTTCTTTTGCATGAAAAGCCTTTTAAGGTACATTCACAGAATTCATTGTATTTTCACTTCTCATTTAATAGATGAAGCTGGTAAATCCAAGTTTTTATTCAAGCTGTCTCTAAAATTGAATACAATTAGTGACAGTGGACACTAAAAGAAGAATTGGTTGTCATTTTTTTATAGATTTGTCTGTTATATAATGTGTATAAGCATTGCTGAGGTGATAAAATGCCTTTCAAGCCTTTCTTAAAGTTTAACAATTTCTTACAGGTAAATCCTATCATTTTGAAACAGAAATTATTTACTTAATGTCATATTGATCCAAAAGATTGTGAAAAATTACGTGTCTAAATTCACATTACGCTTGATATGATCAAAAATTAACTGTAGATTCTTGCAACTTCAGACTCAGTTACTGGTTTTTCAACATAAATGTAATACTTTTATAAGATTTTTAATGTAAAATTATGTAATAACCCGCAACTACTAACAGCACTGTTCTGTAGTATTATAGCTGACTGTATTATAAATTGTTCAAGAATGTTTCTAAATAATTTTCCTGTTTTTACTTATGTAAATATCTTCAATAAACTTTTAAAAAGCATACATGAACACGTGTAAAATTAACTGTAGAATATTACTGTAAAATTGAATATTGAGGATTTTTTTCTGGTATTTTTCACAGCTGCAGCTGCTGAAATCTATTTTTTTTCACAGTGCACACACAAGTACCCAGAGCTACGAGCTATGCCACCACTGTCACTTACATTCTTGAAAATATTTTAAAACTAGTGAAGCTTTAATGGTGATTAAACTTTAATTTATTGCCGTGACTAGCTATGCCTGGCATGCACACAGTCACTTCTAAAACTAGCTTCTACTTGTTCTGCTGCACTTTTTAGAAAACGACTATAGTTGCTGGCTAACCTGGTATGCCATCAAAATGACATGGAAAAATTCAATGACAAGTTTCTAATCAAAAACATAGGAAATATTATTAATATTCCTGCTGCTAAAAGCCAAAGGCTGTTTACATACTTACCCTAAAATATTTGTTGGTACTGCATAATATTATAGCAAAGCTCAATTTTTCTCACAGGTTCACCATCATGGTGTCCACTGCTGCTAACCGTCAGAAGTTCATCCAGTCTAGCATCAAATTCCTGAGGACTCATGGATTTGATGGTCTTGATCTGGACTGGGAGTACCCTGGAGCCCGTGGAAGTCCCCCAGAGGACAAACAGAGGTTCACTGTGCTCTGCAGGGTGAGTACAACACTCCCTTGGTTCAGTTTTCTTTTTCAATGCACAGCTGTTGTTTTACGCTTTATATCTCATTGGATTCATTCTTGCTTCATTTGTGGTATACATTTGCAGGAAATTGTTGAAGCCTATAAAGCTGAGGCCAAGTCCACCGGCAATCGGCAGCTCATGCTCACTGCTGCAGTGGCCGCTGGAAAAGAAAACATCGATGGTGGTTATGAGATTGCCGAGATCGCCAAGTGAGTGGGCCGCTTTTAAACAGTCCATGCAGAAAATTTGGAGTTGTGCAAAAGGTTTGTAAATGACCATTTCTGTTTTTTTCCTTTTCTCCAGAGAAATGGACTTCATCAACGTGATGACCTACGACTTCCATGGAACCTGGGAGACGTTCACAGGACACAACAGTCCTCTGTATCGTGGCTCAAATGATGCTGGAAACCTCATTTACTTCAACACAGTAAGTAGACAGTGAAGACTGAGGAAAAAAATGAACTTGAGAGGTACTTTTTTGTACAATTTCATTTCACCTCTTCCATAAATGTCTTTAGGACTTTGCTATGAAGTACTGGAGAGACAATGGTACCCCAGTGGAGAAGCTGAGGATGGGATTTGCTACTTATGGTCGTACCTTCCGTCTGACTTCATCAGACACTGGTGTTGGAGCCCCAGCTAGCGGCGCTGCATCAGCAGGTCAATTCACACGTGAAGCTGGATTCTGGTCCTACTATGAGGTAAATTTTAAGGGCTGGAGTAAAATAATTAGCATTTAATGTACAGTATCATCTGCCTTTGCATGTAATATACTGTGTGAAGGACATGGGAGTAAAAAAAATAACTGTAAAGCTATACTCATCTTATCATACTCTCTGCGTTCCAGATCTGTAACTTTTTGAAGGGCACCACAATTCAGTGGATTGAGGACCAGAAAGTCCCCTATGCAGCTAAAAACAACGAGTGGGTAGGATTTGACAATCAGGAGAGCTTTGAGACCAAGGTGAGTGGGACAGACTCTATATCAACTGCATACGTATAGTGCATTCTTACCAGGTACTAGGTAGTTCCAATCTCTGTTTATTTATGTTCCAATAGGTGCGCTACCTTCAGGAGCAGAAGTTTGGCGGTGCCTTTGTGTGGGCTCTGGATTTGGATGACTTTGCTGGACAATTCTGCGGTCAGGGCGCCCACCCTCTAATGAGTCATCTCCGTAAACTACTTAATATTGGTAAGTACCAGGCATATTTATGCAGATGTGTTCCTCGGTATCTCTATATTAAGGGCCTATAAACATGATGACAAAAGATATTCTGCGTTACTATAGTAACAACATGCATGTTCTAAATAGTTTTGTGACTTTATTCATTCTTACTGTAAGTACTGAAGTAATAAAGTAATGTACAGTATTGTCGATGTTATTAGTTATTAGAGGGGCTATTTTTACAGACAAACATTAATAGATATTATTTTGACTCCTTCAAACACCTTTAAGTAACATACATTTCTTCTCCCTCGACCGTTCAGAGCTTCCCCCACTGCCTCCAACCACCACCCCCAGACCTGGTGCTAGCACCACCTCCACTACCACCACCACCACTACCACTACGCATGCACCAGGACCCGGCCTCTGCAATGGCAAGCCTGATGGCCTGTACGCCAACCCAGATAACAAGAGCAGCTTCTACCAGTGTGCAAGTGGCGTCACCTACGAGAGGTACTGCGGAACTGGAACTGTCTTCAGTGTAAGCTGCCAGTGTTGTACCTGGCCCTGAACCACGAGTGGAGACGATGTATATTACATCTGATGAAAATGTTAGCTATGAAACAGATTGTAACAGTTCTCATTAGCAGTGGGTATGCAGTCATTTACCGACACAAGTCAGTAATTGGCGCTGTACAGATATGGTGTGCTATTTGTAAAGTATGTACAATAGATTTTAGACTGTAAACAACTGCATTAAAGTACTTTGGTACAAACTGTTGAGTGTGGGCTTATTCATTCAGTCAATTTCTTCATGGTTATAAATATATATGCATCTATCCGACATGTTTATATTTATTTAAAAAATGAGTGTTTCGTGTCATCTTAAAACAAGCATCTTTGCAGGAAATGTGGACAAATGTTGAATAAAATTAACAAAAACAGACTGAACAGCAACAGGATATTATTCACTTCCTCGAGCCCTCACAGGTTACAGAGGTTCAACACTGTGCACCATGAGAGGGTTTTACGACTCAGAAATAGTTTTAAGAAGCAATCAACTCTCTGTAAAACAATCCTCAGTGACCTACTGATCATCAAACGTTTTTTTTCCTCGGGAGAAAAAGTTACAGCATCAAGGGTGGGGCTGAGACTCCAGGAAACATTATTAGCTGATACTGACTCTATCCCTCTGAAGATAAACAGGTTTTTATGATTGACAGAAGTGACAGGAGCAACCTCAGCTCTGAAAAAACATTTGAATATCTGCTCTCTTGGTAATTTTACTCTTTAAACATATCATACAAATAGTTAGATTAATGCATCTTTAGATGTAATCCTGCAGGGAAGAAATACAATAAACAAAAACAAAGAGGACATAAATTGATATATAAAAGAACAAATATCAAAGAGTGAACTGCTGGGAGACAGGAAAAGGTGTGAGGAGGCAGTTGTAGCTTTGTTCCTATTACTTTGAGTTCACTTCAGTATCAAAGTGATTTAGTAGACTTTGTCCGAACAGCCTACACATAACAAAGACGTCACTGTTGTTAAGAAAAATTATACCTTACTATCAAACTTAATTACTTATGTGACAAGGGTCACTGATCACTCACCACATTACTCTGTTTCAGTGCGTGAATTATCTACCTGCATGCATCTGTAAAGAACAGCAGGCCTCTAATACAACACATGAAAGTAGACACCCCCACACAAATCAGTTATTGTATAAACATGAAGATATAGAAAAGTCTTCAGGAATTACGATACAAATCTATAAACGTAGCCCCTAATAAAGGAAGAACATGCGATGAAAGCATTCCTCAACTCATTGGACTTACAATCAATCAATCAATATCCTCTCATTGAGATTTAAAACATCTTTTTCAAGAGTGACCTGGCCAAGAGGGTCCTGCTCTGCTCCTTAGCGCAGTTCTTATTCAGGACAAAGCAGAATGATCACTGTTTGTATTTCTCTCATACACATTACATTTATGACCAAAAGTTTACATACACTTGTAAAAACCATGGATAACATGGCAGTCTTTAAGTAACCAGACAAGAAGTTAAGGGGTCATGTGACTCCTACAACTCTGTACGCGTCGCATGACCCCTTAACCTCTTGTCAGTGATTACAACTGACTACAGCTGTTGATTCCTCTGAGCCAGTTTATATAGTTCTCATGTGATACACTCACAGGACTCAGCCACAAACACTTAACATTATATAAATGCTAAAATGTAAATTCAAAAAATGGTCATCACAAAAGATATTTATGCATGATTTGTATTAAGGAGCTACAACTTGTAAAGACTGGTAAACTTCTAGTGGTTCCTAAATACAGGGACTTGTTGGCTCATTATGTGCATGTTAAGAACTGAGTGCAGAGATTGAAATATGTATATTCCAGCAGATATATCTAAGATTCAATCAACCCTATGTACTAGAAATTGTGTTGTTATTTAAAGTAAAAGTAATTGTGACCAGTTTACATCTTTGGTTAAATAAGAACATAAGAATTACATCTAACTTAATGAGGGAATGTTAAGTAAAGAAAGTAAATAGCCAAAGTTGCAGTACTGACAGTAATGATCATTCTTTTCATGGTTATATGTAGACACTTGTTGCCCTAAGATAAAGGTCCTTGAAGAGACAGTGGTCTGGTTTATTTAGAGTTACTGAAAGCCACCACCTGTCCTGAGCCTTAATCAAAGTTCCTATACCACAGAATCCAGGAATATGGAATAAACCTTGCCTGCTGGGGTGAGTGACACCCAACCACCTCTTGCAGTGCCAAAAAAAAAATGTGGTGCTTCATTTATTCATTAATTAATTTATCCATCCATCTATTTTCTATACACGGCTTAATCCTCACTCGGGTTGTGGGGGGCTGGAGTCTATCCCAGCTGACTTAGGGTGAAGGCAGGGGACACCCTGGACAGGTCACCAGTCTATCACAGGGCTACACTTAGAGACAGACAACCAAGCACACTCACATTCACACCTACGGACAATTTAGAATCACCAATTAACCTCAACATGGTTTTGGACCTTGTGGGAGGAAGCCAGAGAACCCGGATAGAACCCACGCTGCACGGGGAGAACATGCAAACTCCACACAGAAAGATCCCGGGCGTCCTAACCTGCACGTAAATTGGGGATCTTCTAGTTGCGAGGTGATGGTGCTAACCACCTTGCAGCTGCTTCATTTATCCAGTCAATCCAATAAACAAACAAACAAAAAAAATGCTGATGCTGAACCTGCATGTGATTATACTAACCACTAATAGGAGAACTTAGCTGTGTATTTACAGATACTAATTTCTAGGAGACAGGGGTGAATTTAACAAACCTCTCTGCCTCTTCTCAAACATCTTTAAAGAGTAAAGCATAAAACAGTGAACAGGGTGAGCAGTATCACAGCCTACGGATAAGTATGAGGGGATTTACCAAAGCTCATCTCAACACAACAGGTCTGTAAAAAGTATCCATCCTCAGTGAAAGCTGAATCCCAGACTGGAGCTGCCTGGGTGTCAGTCAGATGTTTCCAGATACTGAATTACAGCTTGACACGATGACATCATTATGGAAGATTTGATCAGGGTTTTATCATTTTTGTCATAAAGCATGCAGAGACAGAAATGTTTGATACAGCATTCAAAAGTGAAACAAAAAGAAGTGGAGCTTTCAATGCAGCTCCGCCACCAATTTGAGCCTTGAGCTGCACAACACTTGGTGTGATATGTCTTTTATCCTGCCAGTTTGCATCTTTCAAACAACAACATATTATGTTGATGGATATCAAAAGATGAAGGGGTGGTTTGGTCTTGAGTTTCAAATATGGGTTACATGTCAAAAATGCTTTAGGGGGAAATCTAGAAGTGGGTCACGCTAAAGAGAAGCAAACATAGGGAATGTCAGTGATCTGATCCTGCTGGGACAAAAAGTGATATAAAATCACTCCTGACAAATGTTCTGTTCAGATCAAACTTTCAGTTTTCTGTAATTCCATCTTCAAACATTTTCACGCACTGCACGCCCAACATCCTTTTCTCATTTGCCAGTTAATAGCCGTTCATGTCACCTCCACGCTCTAAAAAGTAACTTAAGGGATCTGTTCCCACCACTTAATTAAATGCATAATTGCAAGATAACATTTCTATTTACCAATTTTGAAAATTCATAAATAATTTTGATGGTGTCAAGTTGTGGGTAAACTAAACCTGCTAGTGGCCCCAGCCCCTCTGTGCCCCGTTCCTGCTGTTGGTGAGCCATTTGTCAGGTAACAGGTTCTGGTGACTATCATGTACGTTTCCACCCGTTTGCCTGAGGCAGTCCCATTCACAAATACCGCTGCACCTCCTATCAGCAAGGCACTGATGAAGTTTTTTGCCACCTTTGGTTTTCCTAAAGTTGGACAAACAGATCAAGGAACAAATTTCATGTCCAGAACATTCAAACACTCTGTCACTCACTCCATATCCTCTGCTTATCACCAAGAGTGCAACACTGGCATCAATCATTGAAGTCCATCCATCCATCCATTATCTATACACCGCTTAATCCTCACTAGGGTTGTGGGGGCTGGAGTCTATCCCAGCCGACTTCGGGCAAAGGCAGGGGACACCCTGGACAGGTCACCAGTCTATCACAGGGCTACACTTAGAGACAGACAACCAAGCACACTCACATTCACACCTACGGACAATTTAGAATCACCAATTAACCTCAACATGGTTTTGGACTGTGTGGGAGGAAGCTGGAGAACCCGGAGAGAACCCACGCTGCACGTGGAGAACATGCAAACTCCACACAGAAAGATCCTGGATGTCCTCACCAGGACGCGAACCAGCGACCTTCTTGCTGCGAGGCAACAGTGCTAACCAACTGCACCACCTTTCAGCCCACATTGAAGTCCATGCTTCAGAAATACTGCCATGACACAGGGAGAGACTGGGATGAGAGAGTGCCTTTTGTTCTCTTTGCCATTTGTGACGCTAAACAGGAGTCACTGGGGTTCAGTTCACAATGTGTGTGGCCCAGTGAAGGTGTTAAAGGAACAGTTTGTGTTGGGTTCAGCTAAAATGAACCTATTTTGTCTCTGCATGTGAAGACAGGTTGCAGCACGCCTCTGTATTGGCAGTGGGGGCCCGTCCTTGTTGCTGGTGGGCCTGATCGGCAGTTCATGTGCGCTGTGTTGTGGGTCTCTCTTTGTGATTTGCCTGAGCCAAGCATGCGTGGTGTCTTGAAGACTTTGGATCAGCTTCAGTGTCATTAAGAAGCTGACTTTCAGTTGATTTGACTTAATTTGTAAATAAGTTGCTTTTTGCTACAGAGTCAGTTTCCTCTTACTTTCTTCAACATCATTTGTTACTCTCCTCATCCCCAAGGTCACAGGGATGGAACAGGTGGGTTGGGTTGACATAATAACGTTCATAATTACATCTACTTAATATTGTAATTTAAACAAAAATGCCTGTGCTAGTTGAATTTAACATATTTTAAGTGTAGTAACTTAACTACATTGACTTGATAACCTTTTTTCCTTTAAGTTCAGGACTTCAAGCCCCCTCCCCTGCCTAATAAACACAAAAAGACAGTTTCAGAGAGTTGAGATTCAGTGTTAGAGTTCATGCAGGCAGAACAAAACACACAACTGCAAAATTTTTATTGTTGGTAATTTTATTTACCAACATTTGTGGTTCTAAATTAAGTACTGCAACTTTATTCATGAATTGTTTGACAGTTTACTTTCATTGTGTTTGTGCTGCTAATAATTAGGTGACTAGTACATAACATTACCCTCGATTAAAGAGCAAAAGCTAATTTTCATAACTCAGTGTAGCTCATTAGTTTAACATAATGTCATTCGATGTTGTCTTAATACAAAAAGATTGATGCAAACTGATCTGTTATTTATATTTGTCATTCTTTAGAGTGCAGTATATTTGAGGCTTCTTCAAAAAATTCTCAGTCTCTCCTGGAAACAACAAGTATAACTCCCATTTTGGGGCATAACTTTTTACTATAGAGCTCAAATCACTGTCCACAAAAACTCTCCTGTGATGTTTTCTGGTGAGGCTGAGAACTTTGTATATGAATGGTCTGACTATATATATATGAACAAATGCTGTCTGTGTCAACATGCATTACATCCATCATTATGTAAGTTGTAGGTCTATTTTAGGGAATGTTAGGTAAAGGTATTTAGAGCTTGAAAACAATACCTGACCGACTCAGTAAAATGAGATGTATGACTGGAGTGATGTTACACTGGGAATACATTTTCTGTTTTTGCTCTCTGAGAGGTGCCACACAATGGGAGACTCCCACTGCAAAGAGAGCACCGACCGCAGAGATGATTGCAGGGATAGCAAGCATACTTGGTGAGAATGTACCTATGTTGTTCTTACATTACCAGAATTTTACTTTGGTTTTTCTGAATATATCAGATCACCTAATTGAAACGACTTCTTGACTTGCCCCCTTACAGTGGCTCTGCAGCTCTTCACTCAGATTGGTAAGCAACACTTTTTAAAAAGTTGGGTTCGTTATTTTTAGTGGTTTTTTGAAAGGTTTTTTTTCCCCCTCCTTTGATCCAGCAACTACAACCAAACTGGTATGTTATTTTACCAACTGGTCGCGCTACAGAACCGGTGTGGGGAAATTCCTGCCAGAAAACGTGGACCCCTTCCTGTGCACCCACCTGGTTTATGCCTTCGCTGTCATCAACCATGCCAACGAGATCACAGAGTATGAGTGGAATGAGAAAAACCTCTACAAATCAGTCACTAAGCTGAAGGATAGGTATCAGCTGCTTAATGGAAACTATCTACACCTGTAGTGCACACTGAGATTTTAAAATGTTTTTTTAGTCAGCAACATGATTTCTGTGTGTGCACTTAAACAGAAACCCCGAGCTGAAGGTTTTACTGTCAGTTAGAGAAGACCACAAGGGATCGACGTGAGTTGATTTTAAGTTATTAATGCTTGTGAAAATCCTCTGTCTGCTGAAAGAAGGCAAAATTACAAAGGAATTATTCAGGTTTACTTTTTTCTCAAACTTGCTGTTTAGCGTTTTGAATTAGTATTTGCCAGTGCAGTAACAGTGACAGGCTATTACCCTCTGAAATTCTGACATGTTAAGTCAAGGCAGTTCATTCTGTGGAGGCTGCAATTTGCTTTCAGTTCTTGACACTTCTTATGGGTTAAGCTTAGTCATTGGTTACATCTTTCAGTACTTTATAATAGTATATAATATGAAATTACGAAGTCATTGTCAACCTTTGTTTAAAAGTTTCGATGGATTTTTAAAAATACATCCTTAAAACTGGAAGCAATTTTACAAACCAAAGCCTCTTTGCAGGTTCTCCATCATGGTGTCCACTCCAACCAACCGTCACACATTCATCCAGTCTACCATCAAGTTCCTGAGGACTCACGGTTTTGATGGTTTAGATCTGGACTGGGATTACCCTGGAACTGGAGCCAGTCCCCCAGAGGACAAGTTCAGATTCACTCTGCTGTGCAAGGTACACTGACTAACTTTCCGGTTTCACCTATTCTGTTGTTAAAGTTTTAGTCCCTTTTAGTTATCACAAAACAGTGGCTTGTTTGTGTGATGTGGTTGTAACCATTAGTCTAAAAGTTACAAAATGATGTTTAACTGAGATGCAGAAATTGAGATTTGGTCCTCTAAAGCTTTTTGTTTGTGGACTTCTGATATGCCTTTGCTGTTATTGAGAGCTTTCATATGAAAACCACAGTCAGACTATGTGGGTGAGCAGCAATTTTCTGATACCTTCAATTTGGCTAGTAAGGTAATTACAGAAAAAAATTCCTTGATCAATCCATTTGAGCCACAGATATGTTGTTTTACTCACACAAAAACAACACATACAGAACACATGAGATGCTGTTTATAACCCAAACCACAGAGTTAAATGCTTTCCCATGACTACTCTGTTGTAGAATTGTGTCGTGTCAAATATGTTACAGTTGAAGCTACAGAAAAAGAAGGAACAGTAGAATATTATTTTATTTACTGGGGTGCAGCTTCTATCAGCAAATGAACGTCTGGTCGAAGGAATCAAGGCACACATTGAGAAACAACTTAAAATTCTTAATATTCTTTTAGTTATTTTCAGTGGAAAATCTTCTATTTTTTTCCTTCCTACGGAAAATATCTTTTTTCCTCACTATATAGCAAATATTTTTGTAGTGCAGTGTGTATGAGGGTTATGGGCTGGCCTTAGGCCAGGTATTGCAAACCACGGCATTAAATTTTACCCTTCTTCAAACCCTTAAAATAAAGGGTTTTTTTTTTGCTTTGTTTTGTTTTGTTTTGTTTTTTTTAAAAAAGGGAATAAGATAATTGTATTAATGTATGAAAATCTACTCCATAATTGCATATGGCAATTTTTTAAGTCTTTTATTATAAAGTTTATATATTTATTTATTTATTTCAGTTATTTCTGAACAATTTAGACCGTTTCTCTTTTTATTTAATCTTGTTATTTGTGTGATGATTTGCTTGTGCTCTGCATGCAGAGAACTGTTGGAAATGTAACGAGGTCTACATTTAGGCAGAAACTAAATCTGAAGATTAAAAGAAAAAAAAAAAAAACAAACAAAATGTCACAAAACTGCAAGATTAGACTTTTTTTCTTGGAAGAACATGAAAAGAAGCCTGGTGAATAGAACACATTGTTTGGTCAGATAAACTCAGATAAATTTGTTTGGCTCAGATGGGATCCAGCATGGTTGTTGTGAACCTGGTCAGGACAACCACAATGCATGCATAGTCCTGACAGAGAAGCATGGAGGTGGGACTGTAATGATCTGGGGCTGTATGAGTACAAACGGTGTTGAGGAGATGACAGTTATAGATGCACTGTGGGCACCTGAGGATAAACCAAAATACTGGCTGACTGGATGACGTCCAGGCTGCAGAAGCTGGAAGAAGAATATTCAGCAGCCTCATAACGCTCCAAAGCACACTGCAAAATCACACAAGTTTATAAATGCAATAAACTAAAAACAACAAAAAAAAGAAAACTATGATCTGACCATGTCACCTAAGTAGAAGAATAAGGTGAAGAATAAGGTAGAGCAACACGATCTTCCAAACCCAGAGCAGCTGAAATAAACTTTCTCTGAAGAATATAAGAACGTGTCTGCAGAAGTTTGAAGTTAAGTGTGTCCATTAACTTTTACAGAGTCCTGCTTGACAAATAAGTAATAAACCAGCCTACTGCTTGGTATGACAAATCTTATATTGGGCAACCTTTGCTTCAGCAGGGCATAATCCACAGTTTTAAACGTTTCAAATAAATTCATTAAATTAAAGGCTCTGAAACTCTGCGTCATATCTAAATTCTGATTATTATGACATCAATTACAAACTTCACTGAAGCAGTAATGGCACTAAGTTGCTACCTATATCCCCACTGACACAAAAGAACATTGACATATACCAAAACTTTAAGCTGATTGCTCACAACTATTCCCAGACGTGTAGCCAGCACAGACAGATTGGAGGGGAAGAATTTTAACAAAGCTATTACAAATGTCAAACCATAGTTATTTCTCATTTGACGGTATTTTAACCAGTTTCAAGACTGTGCAAGTTGATTTTCATCGAGTATTGGACTGAGCTGAATACCAACTGCCAGCAACACTGAGGGAGAAAAGTGGTTTGCAGTGATATGAGAGATAATGTGATTTACTGCTCTAAGGTTCATTTCAGACTCCTGACTGAAGTGTAATTGAATATCTCTTGATTTATTTGTAGGAGCTTTCAGAAGCCTATGATGCTGAGAGTAAAGGAGGCAGTGACGCACAACTGATGCTCTCGGCAGCTGTGGCCTCACATCCAGATGTTATTGATGCAGGATATGAGATCTCTGAGATGTCAAAGTAAGACTCATAAACTACAAAATAAACAAATACTCTTGACATTACATAACTGCATTTCATTGTACAATATAATTTGGTGTGTGGTTATGTGTGTTTAGATACCTGGACTTCATCAGTGTTAAAACTTTTAATCTCCATGGTGATCGAGATGGAATGACAGCCCACCACAGTCCTCTCTACAGTGACAATAATGCTAACATAGTAATGACCTATTTTTATGTAAGCGCAATAGTACCAGTGAAAAGCATAACAAGGTAAAAAGGACTTGTAAAAAATTAATTTTAAAAAAATGAATAAGGTTTGTAAAATTTAATTTTTGATAAATAACCATGTTGACTTTGTAACAATGAGTTAATGACATATGGCTGCATGTAAAAGCATCTTTTCTATTCAACAACATGCCATGTGTTACGTTTTTAAGACAAGAAAAAGCATGCAAGCCTTGTTTGATAGTAGGTAACAGCCATGTAATGTAATGTAATGGATATCATGTGACTGCAGTTGTATAATTCCAGGAAGTCAGTTGGTTTATGATAACTTTCTCATTTTATGTCGTCCTTCTCAGTATTATATAACACACCACTGGATGGAAGGGGGGTGTCCACCAGGGAGGTTACTGCTGGGTTTTCCCATCTACGCTTGTTCCTTCACGCTCTCCACCACAGCAGCAGGTCTGGGCTCACCAATTAGTGGCCCTGCCCCACCAGGGCCCTACACCCAGGAGATTGGCGTCTGGTCTTACTATGAGGTAACAAAAGCATGTCAAAAATACACCTAGAAGCCACTCAGGTTAATAGCAATCAGTACAGATAACCACTATATGCTTTAATGCCGCATGTGCTTCTTAGAACATAAGTTCCATAAAGCATCCTGTAATTCAGAGAAGAGAAGAAGAATACCAAAACATAAAAACTCAACAATTTTGAAAATAAAACATATTAGTTTAAGAAAAAACTAAAGCAGAAGAGGCCATTGAAATGAACTGACTGATGCTGTCTATGGCTGATATGCAGTTGGATGCTGTGGACATAAGGGGTCTAACAGGTTAACTAGTTTACATCCAGCTGTGAAAAACAAAAAGGTCAAATAATACAAATGACCCAAACATGTATGCATGCTGTTTTTTTCTCTGTACCAGACCTGCTCTTTTCTGAAGGGGACGACTGTTCAATGGAGCGACAGTCAGAAAGTTCCCTATGCTGTCAAAGGCAATCAGTGGGTTGGCTTTGATAACCAGAGGAGCATTGATGCCAAGGTACATTATGTTACTATGTTTTTCTCTTAGTCGTGAAATGGTAAACTGTAAATGGTCTGCTCTTATATAGTGCTTTTTTACCTTAGTGGTACTCAAAGCGCTTTACAATGTTTTCTCATTCACCCATTCACACATACATTTATACACCAATGGCGACAGAGCTGCCATGCAAGGTGCTACCTGTCTTTGGGTGCTCCCACCACAATGAGAAGCCCAGGCTGAGAATGTCCAGTTTGTCAACCAGCTGGTGGGGGATAATGGTGTTAAATGCAGAGATGAAGTCCACAAAGAGCATCCACACATAACTGTTGGGCCTCTCTAGGTGTGTCAGAGCCTTGTGGAGCGCCGTGTTGATGGCATCCTCTGTAGAGCGGTTTGCTCTGAAGTGGTGATTGTCCAGGTCTGGAGGGAACGATGGACTTGATATGTGAGAGCACCAGCTTCTTGAAGCACTTCATGGAGATGGGTGTCAGTTCTACAGGGCGATAGTCAGTCAGGCCTGTTATGGATGACTTTTTGGGCACAGGTATGGTGGTGGAGGTCTTCAGACATGTGGGGGCAGTCATAGATTGCAGCATGAGGTTGAAGATGTTAGTGAACATCTCTGGAAGCTGCTCAGCACATCTTCAGGACCCTACCTGCCACTCCATCTGGTCCTGCTGCTTTGTGAGCGTTGACTCTCCTCAGGGTGGCTCTCACCTGGTGTTGTTGCAGCACCAGTGGTGCCTCCCCAGCAGGCAGGGTGGTGTGTGGGGCAGACCTCTCTCTCAGGCTGTTGAAGTGGGCAAAAAAGTGGATCAAGACATCAGGCAGTTCAGCATCCTCGCTGGGCAGCAGGCTGCTGTAGTCTGTCAGTGCCGTGACACGGTCCCACATGCTGGTTGTTTTTAAACTGCTCCTCAGTTCGCAGCTTGTTGCCCCGCTTTGCATCTCTGATGCCTCTCTGGTGTTCCCCCTTGTCACGCTGTAGGCCTATCTGTCACCCGACCTGAAGGCTGCATCCCTCTCCCTCAGCAGAGGTCTCACGGTGGTGTTCATCCATAGTTTTTGGTTGGAGAACAACTTTATTGTCTTTTGGGTTTGTACGTTCTCAGAGCAGAAACGTATTCAATTCAATTCCATTTTATGTCATCTCACAGTGCGTAACATAGTAAGGTGGAGACCTTACAAATTTAAACAGAGAACCTAACAATCCAAAGTTGCCTTTGGATTCCCGCTGAGCAAGCGGACGGCAACGGTGGGAAGCAGCCAACACCCCCTTTCTGGATTTAAATGAAGAAAATTACAAGTCATCCAGGAATTCATGTCCTACAGACATGCCTGAAGTTTGACCAATTGATTGATTTAATTTAGTTTCATAGAGGGCTGCAAGGTGGATCGGTCGTTAGCACCGTTGCCTCGCAGCAAGAAGGTTGCCGGTTTGCGTCCCGGTGAGGACATCAGGGTCTTTCTGCGTGGAGTTTGCATGTTCTCCCAATGCAGTGTGGGTTTTCTCCGGGTTCTCTGGCTTCCTCCCACAAAGTCCCAAAAAAATGTTGGAAATAAATTTGAATGATGGATTTCATGATGCTACCGTGGGATGGTGAAACTCTGGCCCCTAGTAAATGTTGAATTCATGACGCCCCTAGTTCCAGTATATTTGTAAGGCATGGATGTCTATTGGAACACTGTGTGGTTTTTTGTCTGCTGGTCTTACAGGTAGACTACCTAAAGAGCAGGCGTCTGGGAGGAGCTACTATTTGGACTCTGGATATGGATGACTTCTCTGGACAGTTCTGTGAGCAGGGCAAATATCCCCTGATATCATATCTAAAAGCAAAACTCTGTGAAGGTGAGGCTGCTACACTGTACAGTACTGTAATTCTAGTTATCATCATATGACTTTTACAAAATTGGCCGGACAACTGCTGAACTCCATTCTTTGGAAACCTGTAGCTTTGGCATACTTTGCAGTAGAAACCCTGATTTGAAGTTTCAACAGGTCACAAGGCGTTGAATGTTATTCATCTGAAGCAGTATTTTGATATCTTTTAGACTTTTTTACATAGTTGCAGTTTAAGTTTTATTTTTTTGAAAATTCTGAATATTTGTTCAGTTAGAGTGGGCGACATCACCTGTGTGGAAAATTAAGTTTAGAAATAGAGAAACTAAACTTACTGCCAAAAAATTAAAATTAAAAAGCCACAGCAATAATGCAAAATCACTCTAAATGAATTAAAGGGTTCATGCCAGAAATGAAAACAAACATGTAAAATGGGGAACTGCCTCATATGTGCAGCCTTGTCTGGAGTTTTTAATTCAACTCTATGACAATGCCACCATGTTACATATTACATTGATTCATTTAGTCCCAGAAGATAAACAACAACAACAACAACAACAACAAAAAAGCGAAAGATGAATGGTTTTCAAGTATTGTAGAATACAGTGACACATTTAAAGGGGGTATTAAAAAGTGGTTACGTGAATCTGCTCCTGCTTATATAACTTAGGTACTCTACTTGACAACAATGGATGGACCTTAAATTCCAACACAGGCTGCGTCCATTGTCAGATCTGATGTTTGGCAAGATGATGTAAAACCAGGAGGAAAGTCTAATGTCAAGACAGAAATTATTAAAAGCCAAACATCAACTAGAAAAAGAGGAGAAACTGTTGAGGAGAAGGAAGGTGCAACCTCAAATGGATGAGGATCTTGCAGCACACATGGCTAAACTGGATGTGTTACGACCCCAAAACATTCGAAGTGGAAAAAAAAGTGGGAAAAATTTCACAACATTCAGATGGAATGAATTCTTATCTGGAAAACAGAAACTTAAACCCACAAGCTCTCAGTGTTAATGTAGAGTAATTTATTCCTCAAATGTCAGTGAAACAAAGGGACATTAAACTTGAGTAATTGGACCCAGGAACAGAGCCTAAGGAGGAAATTATACCTCAGTTCAATCAGTCGATGTCACTTTATGAACCCAGGCACCATTCAGTGTGTGGCAATGTGATTAAGAACACACGAACCTAATCTAGAAATGCCCAGAATGTAAAGATTGGGTCAGAAAATGAGGATCAAAACAATATGCTGGTAATTATGAGAAAACAAAATGAAATAATGACACTCTTGACAAAACTGCAATGCCTCTGATCTTTACCAAAGAAAGAAAACCCAATCTTTGATGGTGATCAAATAAAATATAACATCCATTTGAAGCTGCTCCTTCCTTGTCCTCGTGGGGTTTCTCCTCTTTTTCCAGCTGATCAATTTGAAAACAGTGACAGAGAATAATACCTTCAGTAACAGTGATTGACTCTATTTCCTGGAGCAATGCACAAAGAGTTAACCAAAAGAACCTGTTAGGAGCTGCCAGTACATTGCTTCAGCCAGAAGTGGCATCCACATATTTGGAAGGCGCTCTTTCATGTCCTCCTAACAAGACAAAAGATTTCACAGCTCTTCATGATTCAAGCCTTTTTCTTCGTCACTGTTCTAATGCCATGGAAGAGTTGCAATTTTTGCCTGAGTCAGGCATGCCTGAAAAATATGTTGGACTTTAAAAGGAAGTTGCCTTACAGTGGAGAACTGTAGCCTGTACGCTAAGTTCAATGACATCACAAATGTTATTGAGAGACAAGTAAAAATCTTAACCAACCCAGTATTTGGAAACATACAGGATCCTCCTGAAGTGACAATAAACAGATGTTTGAAAAAAAATAACTCAAATCACAACCTTGTTCTGGAATTAAAGGAACTAGCTTCGCCACCACTATAGCCCATGACGTGGAATTAAAGGGTCTGCATGATGTCAGAGCACGTTGGAATCAAGTCAGACAGAAATCTAACAGACACGTGCTGAGCGGTGGTCACTAGTGTCTGACTGCATTTCACAGTCCACGGGAGTTTTAAAGCAAGTTTTCTATTTGTAAACTGGAATTCTTAAACCCAAGCTGAGACGAAGACTTCAAGATAATCTTAGGTTGGGCTTAATTTTAGGCAGATTTTGGATGGCCCAAAGACAGTAGTGGAACTCATAATGAATTCCATGTAAAATTGATGGGTTTCCCCATTTAAGACTAATTTTTCTGTTCTAAACATTATAATTGTAAGTGCAGTTTTGTTTTTCTTTTTTCCCTAGACTGGACAACTGGGCCAACAACTCCTGCTGTTTCTCTCTCCACTACCACCTCATCTCTCTCTGAAAGCACACGATCCACACAGGAGCCACTCATCACAGTCAGCAGCACCACAGCATGGCCAGACAACAGCTGCAACCACAACATCACCGTGGTGTATCCTGTCAGCAGCTTCTGCAAACACAGAGTCGATGGACTGTATTTAGGATCAGATGATGGAAAGACTTTCTTCAAATGTGTAGGGAGGCAGATGTATGTCACAAGGTGCCATATCCTGGGAACAGAACAAAGCAGCGTAGTCACAATTATACCATCCAAAAAGGTTGTTTATTTGGGCTTTATGATCGCCAGGCTGTTAAATTACTAAAGCATGTGAGGTAACAGGTGAATTTGTTTTGTATGCAGCAGTTGTCACGAAATGTCAAAATTTGTATTACACTCTCAGTGAGTCAGCCTTAAAGTCAAATATTCTGCTTCTCATCAAATCCAAACCATGTGTTCGAGATGTACTGGTTTGTGTTTGGGGTTTTTCCATAATTAAATCGTTTCATAAGAGGTATTCTATCAATGGAGTTATGCACACACCCACAGGGGTTCAGAAAGATATAGTAATAAATTAGATCATTGTTGACATCAAAACAGTTGAGCCAGTTCTCTATCTTATGATTAGTGTGCTTAGCAGTGGTGAATGATTCAAAGAAATGACTGCAGCTCAAAGCTTGGATCGTTCTGTATACAGACCTTATGGTTCATTCTGACTGCTACCTTTAGTCCCTGTGGAGAAGCTGCTGTACTCCACCAAGATGCTGAAGAAAAAAACATTTGCAGGCTGGTGAAGATAGGAACTGGTATATAACGCCCAGGAATGTGCCTCAAGAGTTTTTGATAGAGAGCAATTCATAGCTAAAAAAAAAGAAAAGAAAAGAAGAGAAGCAGTCATTAAGTGCTCAGAGAATACTTCACTGCATATGAATGATGCTGTTCTGTTGAAAGTTACTGTTTAGTCCTCAGCCATAAGCTATTTGCTGCAATCTCCACCTGGACAAATATCCCCAAATTCACACGGAATTGTTTTTGCCTTCAGCATTTTTATCTCTGCCCAAACTACAAATAATAGCATACATAGCTGTTGTTGAAAATACTTAGCAAAAAGCAGTGGTATTAACTCTGTCATAAAAAAGTCTCACAAAATACGACACCAAAGCGTTACATCCAGGTGAATCACAGCAGTTCTAGACAGTCTCTTCACTGAACCTGCCACGCTCAGCAGCCCACTAATTTGGACAAATTGGATTTTAATAACCAATACAGCCTAGTCCCAGAGCAGTTTCCTCCAGGGTGGACAGAGTTACCGTGTTTGCCACATAAACTTAAAACTGTTCATATGGTAGGGCTCTAATGTCTGTACCTATCAGCTTATGTTAATACTTTTCTGCCACCTACAGGTAAAAATGCAGCTTAAATGAAACATTAGCATATCCTTGCAACCTTTTCATTACTTCCCTCTAATATAATTGCAGTGTTGTTTATACAGTTTTTACTTATGTATGTAAAAATAAATGAATATTGAGTTCTGTAAATAAAGTTTAGGTAAACATTGTGAAGGCTCTGTTGTAAAACAAAATCAAACATTGAGAGGGTTTGTGGGGCTGTGATGTGACAGGACCTGTTCAATTTAATACGACAATTTCTGTCGTGTTTTCTGGTCCACTTGATTCTTAGCCTATGAGGAAAACTGGAATTTGCGTCCTGTTTGAAATTAAAAGAATTTGTAAAAGTCTGGAGCTTTCCATGCATAATCTTTCTGATCAAGATTATTTCTAAATGCTGACTTTTCCTGACTGCATGACTGCACTATGTAAAAATGCATATGTATGTAATTTCATTGTTGTCTCGGTGCAGCAGACTCCACAGAAAAAGAAGTACAATGCATTCACAGATTGTGAACAGCAAACCTTAAGAGATACAGCAAATAAATGTAGTCTCTAGATTCTAAACTTCCACAAATAGTGCATTTTTATCATTGTATTGTAACTGTATAATTTATAATTACTGTGGATTCCAGGGACAAATGGGAATCAGCCAAAGATGCCTAACAACCTGTCAGAGTCATCGTTTAATCCCTAGTTGATTAAATCCAACATAGACTTAGATCAGTGCATTCCCTATATTTTGTGTGAACTTTAAAACATCCAGGTCTAAATGGTATGGTGTGGTTGTAGTAGTCTGCTAACCTGCATTTTCATGCAGTAGAGCCAAAGGACATCAGACATGGCACAAAGGACGTGGGTGAAGTGTTTAGTGTCAGCATTGATAGCTAATCAGCTAATAGCCTGGTGATCCTAGTACAGGCCCAGCAGGGAGGAGGACTGACCCACTTACCATGAACTGTGGTTGGGCAAATGGTGACCCAGTCTGAAGGGCCTCAGTGCACAGGGCAGCGAGAAGGAACCTGAACCAAACTGAGAGGTTGACACAAAGAATATAAACAGACAATCGTACTTTAAAGCAGCCTGGAGGAAACTGCAACGGCAAGATTTCCAACTTGGCTCAGTTTTGTCTGTAAGACATCTGTTTTCTGAAAGTTTTGCATGACATTCACATGTTAAAAATATTTCTTTCTTTGTTTGTTTATTTGTCAGGGACATTGCAAGACACGTAAAGAGTTACAATAACATGATGTAGATGTGGTGCATACAAGATCTCTAGCAAAAGCCTTATTTGCTAACGCTTGTCCTGGTTCTGCCTGTCTTCTTGAAAGGGTTATAGCATATCATAACTACTGGGAATTATGATTATACTGTGACATTTCCCTACATGGAACACATCCATAAAGGACATTGAATTTGTTTTACATGTGCTGTGTGTGTGTGTGTGTGTGTGTGTGTGTGTCACACTCATAAATCCTGGCAGTTTATATCTATGTCCATAAAATATATATCCAGACAGTTGAAACCAGTAGTTTACATACACTATTTAAAAAGGCATGTAATCTATTTTTTTCTCACTGTCTGACATTAAATGTGACTGAACCTTTCCTGGTTTAGGTCAGTAAAGATTATCAAAATAATTTCTATTTGCTAAATGACAGAATAATGAGAGAGAGAATATTTTAGACAATTAATTTGTTACTTTGTTCAAAGTCAGAAGTTTACGTACACTAAGATCACTATGCCTTCAAACTATTTGGTAAAGCCCAGATAATTATGTCATGGCTTTGGAAGCTTCTGATAGGTTAACTGACAACATTTCAGTCAACTGGAGGCACACCTGTGGATGTATTTTAAGGCAAACCTCAAACATACTGCTTCCTTTGGTGACAACATGGGACAATCTAAAGAAATCAGCCAAGATATCAGGAAGAGAATTGTGGATATATAAATATACGCAACTATAAACACCATGGGAATGTCCTGCCATCATATGGCTCAGGAAGGAGATGGGTTCTGTGTCCCAGAGATTAAATGTTTTGGTGCGAAATGTGCGTATCAACCCCAGAACAAAAGCAAAAGACCTTGTGAAGATGCTGCTGAAGCTGGTAAGAGTCATTATCCACAGTGAAACGAGTCCTGTAGCGACATGGGCTGAAAGGCTACTCAGAGAGGAAGAAGTCATTCCTCCAAAAGCAACATGAAAAGTCAGATTACAGTTTTCAAATGCACACAGGGACAAAGACCTTCATTTTTGGAGACATGTTCTGTGGTTTGATGAAACTAATATTGAACTGTTTGGCCATAATGACCATTGTTACATTTGGAGGAAAAAGGGGGAAGCCTGAAAGCCTGAGAACACCATCCCAACTGTGAAGTACGGGGGTGGCACCATCATGTTGTGGGGCTGTTTTGCTGCAGGAGGGACTGATGCACTTCATAGAATAGATGGCATCCTGAGGAAAGAACATTGTGTGGAAATATTGACACAACATCTTAAGACATCAGCCAGGAAGGTAAAGCTTCTGGGCAAATGAGTCTTCCAGGTGGACAATGACCCGAAGCATACCGCCAGATTAGTTACAAAGTGGCTTCAGGACAACAAAGTCAATGTTTTGGAGCGGCCATCACAAAGTCCTGAACTGTAGAAAATGTGTAGGCAGAGCGTGTGGAGCAAGGTGGCTAAAAAAACAGACTCAGTTACACCAGTTCTGTCAGGAGGAATGGGCCAGAATTCCAGCAAACTATTGTGAGAAGCTTGTGGAAAAAGCAAAATGTCTGACCCAAGTCATACTGCATGAAGGCAATGCTACCAAATACTAAGGAAATGTATGTAAACTTCTGACTTTAAAGAAGGTAATTTAAAAAATCTTTTTTTCTTTTTTTTTTAAATGTAACTATTCTGAGATTTGGCAGATAGAAATGATTTTGGTAATCCTAACTGACCTAAAACAGTTTAGTCACATTGAATGTTAGATAGTGAGAGAAAACAGGTTATATGTCTTTTTATACAGTGTATGTACACTTCTGATTTCAACCCTGTTGCCCATAAAGTTGGAATAATTGCGATGTCTTTGTTTCACCGCTCCAGCCTTTAGGGTGGGTGGTGGGGCCATCTGCTGGTGACTGTATGGATGTTCTCAAATTGGTTAGAAAATATGTTGTAGTTGTAACAGTTTTGAAAATATTAATTAATACTCCTTGACTAAAATAGTCTCACTATATGTTACACCAACGCGCTAAAGTTAGCTTTATCTGAAGCTGTGGGCGGCAGATTAATTCACAAAGTGGATTGTTCTGCTGTTCTAACAGGATTCACTTTTATTTTGACAGTTTAAAGCTACTTCCGGGTCACCTAATTTTAGTCGCGTCTTTTTCTTTATAAGGTAAAATCGACAAAAAGAAATTAGACTAAATGAAAAACGAGCCGTTTCCTGACTTTACTCTTTTTAATTTTAACGGAGAATGAAAAAATGAGAAAAGAGAATCTTTTTTTTATTTTTATTTTTTTTTACATTTTTGGTGCAAAACGAAATAGTCTTTTTCCGCTTTTCGGATTTTAGTTCAAAACGAAGGGAAAAAGTGGTTTTTTCGTGTTTGATAATCGATGGAAAATGAACCATCCTTTAAGACTCAGAGATACTGTTGACTTCATTTCCCATAATTCCCTCAGTCGCGCTTCCGGGTCAGATTACACGTAGCGTCACTGCTGTGTTTAGATCCGCAGGTAGTTTTGAACGACGTCTTTTACACACTTATTTAATGTGTGTACGATTGTTGGTCCATGTGTTACCGTGTTTGTGTGCTCCGACTAGAATGAAGCCGCAGCGGCGCCTAACGCTGTCTTTGTTGTCATGTATAGGCTAAGCTAAGTCACCGTGCTAACGTTGGTATGCGTAGTTAGCAGCTATTTGTCTTGTTTACCACTTTTACAAGATGTATACTTTGTTGTCTGGATTATATAAGTACATGTTCCAGAAGGATGAATACTGCGTTCTGATCCTGGGACTGGATAATGCCGGGAAAACGGTATGTTGCTCTTTATTACAGCTGGGTTAACAGTGGAAGTTAGCTTGGTCGTCAGTCACTCTTCCTCCCCAGGCTGAGTGGAATTCACACCAAATGCTGTTGAAAGTCACTGTCTGAGCAGCTTTAGCAAACTAATGACTATTTACATGTGATCTCCTGTTAACACGGTTCGGAGGCCACTGTCCAGTTCGGCACATGAACACTTGAGCTGGTGTTCAGCAGCGACAGTGTGCTTCATAACGTTCAGGTGTTCAGCAGGTTTCGTGTATCAGGTGACTGTTGGTTTAATTCACCGACTGCCACGTTTGAGAACCAACACGCTCGTTCTGAACATTTACTCCAGCTGTGGGTGTGTTTTATTTATCCCAAAAGCACATCGAACCCAACCTGTATGTATAGAAACGGCCTCTGATGTTAAGATCAGGGATTTAAAGAAACCACTTCCTGTTTTTTTTTCTTTATCTTGCGTATAAACTGGATTATTGCAGGGAATATTCAGTTTTGGTGCTTAAATGTTGTCATGTTTCCAGCAGTGGAATTACTGTAAAATTAAAAACGAGGCAACAGACAGCAGGCCTGTTTCCTGATAATGGAAAAGAGATGAGTCTACAAGCAACTTCAGATATGTTAGTCGGGTCAGTGCAGAGTCTGTAGACCCCCCTCCAGGTCCCAGTTTAAGCCCTGCTACAGTGTCCAGTCTGATTTACTTACTGCTCTGACTGTTGGTCTGATTGTGTCTCTCTCTCTCTGCAGACCTTCCTGGAACAGACCAAAACAAAGTTCAGTAAGAACTACAAGGGAATGAATTTGTCGAAGATCACAACTACAGTTGGCCTGAACAGTAAGTGTGTGTTGCTGTATGACTGCAGTTGTGTTTGTAATTAGCAGTGATGAGCAAATTACTGAAGACAGCCAGCCCTGCAACGCAGTACCTCACTTTACAATTTACTCGTGTCCTCAGGGTTCCATTTAAGTTTCTTGTCAGCAGCATATCTACCGACAACTTGCCAAAAAGTCGTGATACACATTGTTTTAATGACTAATTGCAGTGCCTAAGTAGATCATACTGCTGGATAGCTGCTTTATAAAGGACAAACACCAGTAAGCTTTTTTTTTTTTATATATTTGACTCCACTTGTGACTATTATTTTTGCCCACTGCTGCCCACCGTATAGTTTGCAGCAGGTGTTGTCATTCCTCAGGCTCTTCTGTAACATTTTTTATGGATCTCTCTCTTTC